TGAATGTGGCACGTAGTGTAAAAGCCGCTTTGAGTGGTCGGAAGACTAGAAAGGCGCTATACAAGTACAGGTCCATTTACCATTTACCAGCAATAGTAACAGAACTTCTAGTGCTAGTAGTAGCAGTGGGTAGCTGGTGGCAGCAGACATTGTGCTAGGTATAAGGCCAATAGCATTAGCATTGGTAATAGTACACAATATCATTATTAGTAGTACTTATAGCAACAATAGTAACAGGACTCTGGTGGCAGTGGTATTAGTATTGGTAATAGTATTGCTAGCACTTAAGTACCATGAGCATTATCACTGAGATACAGCTGTTTCTAGAAAAATCTTCCAATAGAGGAACTCTAAGAGGTTGCAGACTGTATTCATGAAAAACAGTAGAGACAGATATAAAATAACTGCTCTGCATGGAAAGAATTTAATTCCAAAACTATAGTAAGTACACATTTAACATATAAAAATGTATCAAGGTTTCTTTGACAAATACATGATAATTACAATCTCCAAAACGCTTCGAACAAAAGATTTTATGTTGTTTTGTGTGGCAGCAAGATGAGGTAACACAGCAGCAGCCCACCTGTCAGGCTCTTACGTAGCCCAAGGGGTCAAACTGAGAGGAGGTGAGCCTGCATTAACAGGAAGGGGAGATTTATAATAACACAAAAATAGTTTGAGCTGCCAGTAGAATGTTCTGAAGTGGGTTTTAGCTGTAGTTTAAAGTCCACATGAAACTAAAAGCCATTTGCATCTGCATATTTACGTGTTATCTCTAAAAACAAGCTGTTAGGGAGAGACTTGTCGTGGTAGCCAGGTTAGCAATTAAATGTCAGCAATTTGACAAATAAAGATATGAAGACGCTTTGGGTTGAAAGCTTAAAGACAGTTGATACGTAAGTGTCATTCCCAGGCTCCCAAAGCATCTGTATTTGACTACCTGGAAATAAGACTCAACAATCGGCCCAGTGGTTTCTTGCAAATGCCATTAGGAGCGCTAGAAAAAGGCAGAGGAACCTGTTTTTTCACAGATTATGTGATCATGTGATCATGTACTACTGTCAGGATATAGTTTTAGCGAATATGACAAAAAATATTTTTATAAACATTACCCACTGAAGCTTTAAGATTTGCTCCCTGATTTTGTTTTGCACCCAGCCAGACATCACATTTCTTTCCAGCTTACATTCACTTCACTTTCCCACAGGAAATGTGGGTTATTTGGGTTGGAGGCATTATCGCGTGCTATAACACTAGCAGCCAGTTAATCCATATTTTCTGGAATCTCATACTTGCTGAAAAAAAATTTGCTGATTCATTTCCAGTTATCAACTGTGATGCTGTATGAGACAGCTCACAACCTGTTGTCATACTTGATGTGGCATAGCAACAAGCGTGATGTAACCATGTGGTGTAACGTGCCTCATGCCGCTGTGGCTGATCTTTGAGATCCACCTGGCCAAATAATGGCTGAGTCACTGGTATCACTCAGAAACTCTGGCCCTATCCCTATGAGCAACAATCTTACAGATAGTCCCTCCACAGATATTATATCCACAGATATATCAACACGAAAAACTCTGATGTGACCTTCAAAGAGCCATGATGTGGGTGGTACGTTGACTTTTCTGTCAGCTGTTTGTGTCTCTAGCTGACTGCTCTTTGAATTGCAGTGCTAATGATAAGAGGAAAGAACAGAGGTGAGTCTTAAACATTCCCTTACACTTTCATCTCCACTCCCAGGGCCAGGCCTGTCTACAAACAGGGTCATGTGAGCCGGCCTTCTTTGATATTCAAATAGACCTGATGAGTGCTACAGGTGCACTCTGCAGTCTCTCTGTCTTTCCCACTCTTGTTCTTTCTTTGCTCTTTTTCCTAATGTTCTATTGCCTTACTGCAGCCGAGACAGCAGGGCTATTTAGGAGCAGACAGGACTGCAGGACACATACTCCATCACGGCATAGCAGACAAACACACACTAATATATCTCTGTTGCTAGCCGCATAATACTGGAAGGGTTTATATTCATGGAGAGAAACTTTTGGATAATGTAAGTTATGCATTGAGAATACTGATTAAGAATGTGTGGATGGCACAGGGTGCTAAAGTTTTTCCTCAAGGGACTACTTTTCTATCACTCCATAAACGGATGACCCCTGACATATAACATATTTTATGGATATTATATTTAATGCATAACAGTAACATTAGAGAACAACTGATGGACTGCAGGAGGTCTGTGTCAAATAAGTAATTTGGAAGAATTATGAGCTAAACTATTTCCTGTGAATATTGATCAGATATTTTTTATTTATATATTATCACCCGCAAATAAGAAGTTGTATTTTTGTTGCCTTAGAATGAGCCGTTTTTATCTACAGAGGCGGAGTCTGCCATGTTGAAGCGCCATGTTTCTACAGTAGCCCAGAATGGACAAACCAAACACTGGCTCTAGATCAGATGTAACTTGCTAGCTAATGATCAATGTACACTGAACAAAATATATAACACTTTAGTTTTTGCCCCCATTCAT